GCAAGACAAGACGCTGAGAAGGTGTGTCACCCTCCGCTCCAGCTGTCGCGTGAGGACACGCCCCCTCGATGCTGGGAACGGAGCCTTATCCGGTTGTCAACGCGGATGGCGAGGTCGACTAGTCCGTCGAGGCTGGGGGGTAGTTCAAGTGAGTAAATCTCGTCTTTTATGTAGTCGGCCAGCCCATGAAGGAAATGATCCCACTGCGCCTTAGCGTTCCATCCACATGACGCAGCGAGCGTGCGGAACTCGATAGAGTATTCAGAAACAGACCGTCCGCCCTGTTGTAGCAACAATAAAGCTCACACTGCCTCCGTCCCCAGCGCAGATTGGTCAAACACCTTGCGGAGCTCTGCTGAGAAATCCGTGAACGAGCTGCAACATTCATGGTCATTGTCCCACATGGCCGTTCCCCACTCTCTCGCTTGCCCGGTCAGGAGTGTGATGATGAATGCCACTTGAAATCGTTCCGTAGGAAAACAGGAGGGCTGGAGTGAAAAAGTCAAAGAACACTGTGACAAAAATGAGCGGCATGAGTTGGGCTCACCGGAGTATGGAGCAGGTGGATTAAGGCGAGGTTCTGCACACGGGGAACGGCTACTCTAGGTTCGTCCAGAGGTGGTACTGTAGGGGCTGCCGGACTGCGGATCTGGAACTGTTCGAGCCGTTCTGTGAGCTGGGTTAGCTGGACAGACAGCTCCGTAAAAGCGCGGTGCGAGGTGGCAATCTCCTCCTGCTGCCGTCCCAGCAGGACGCCTTGCAGCACGAGGATGCGGCGAATATCAGCTTCCTTTGCTGAGTCCATGATGTGGTCAGTAGATTCTGTCAGGGGTTCTGAACAGAGGACTCAAATGCAGAGGTAAGGTGAAAAGAGTTTATTGATACAACCTCCAAGGTTAGTGACAAAAGTGCTCAAAAGTAAAGGTGAGATAAGGGATCTCCAGATCTGTCCATTAGGCTCACTGGACACACAGTCTGAGAAGACCACTTCAGAAACAGAGCACAGCTTGGATGGGTAACGAGACGAGAGAATGAACAGCCAGGAGATGATCAGCAATAACTCCTCGTCTAAGCGTCCTGAGCACAATGGTGAACAAGGTAAGACAAGAAACACAACAGTACAGATCCACATGAGACAACACCCAAAACAATCTACTGACAAACAGGGGCAGACACAGCAGAGAATATAAAGGAAAATGAAACAAGCGACAGGTGAGGGAAATCAACTTGTAATCTGTGCGCAGCTGCACAGAATCAGCACTGATTGCCCAGGTCACAAGCTGCAGAAAATGACAGGACAAACACAGACAACAGGAATGATCCCAGCTAACAATTTTATGTTCTGGGAACGTTCTGGGAACGTTAGTTTTTGGTTCCCAGAACGTTCTGGGAACGTTCCCAGAATGTTCCCTATTGGTTCTCCAGGAAAGTTTTCTTAACGTAAATAGAACGTCTCCTTAAGGTTAGGGGAACGTTCCGGGAACCTATTCGGAAAATGAAACCTAAAAAAACCTACAGGGAACGTTCTGGGAACGTTAGGTTATAAAATAGAACCTAAAAAGAACCTACAGGGAACGTTCCTAGAACATTCTCGTTTGGTTCCCAAAAAATAACCAAATGGGAACCAAATGAGAACCATACGGGAACGTTAGGGGAACGTTCTGTGTTTGCTGGGATGCACCCTGAACCGTGACAGAAATAAATTTGCTTGGTTTTTAAAAGCAAATTTATTATAATTTTTTTTTATTATAAGGACTTTGGGTCGCAGCTAAATGACCATGGGGAAATTTGGGTCCCATAGACAAACCAGTTGAGAACCACTGATTTAGAGCTTCTAATAATTAAAGATTGAAGTAGAATTATAGATATAACCAGTGAATATTATAAGGAATATAAGTACAAAGACAGCATTTAAGTTTTTAAAGATGGGTCAAAGGATTTACAAACAGATGCAACAGGATCTGCGGTATACATATCTAGATATTAAATGGGACATCTGGCAGATTAAAGTCCCCCTGTGGTGAAAATCAAGTTTTTAATTTTGTTTATATGTCTATGTGGTGTCTATGTGGTGTTTTTAGAAAAACCATGTCCAATTTTATAAGTCAACACCATTGCAGTTTTCTTTTTAAAACTGAAGTAAACCAAAGACAGTCTCAAAAACGCGGTTTGAAATCGCTGGTGTTTCTGACGTCACAAACTACCTTGTAACCAAGTTATCAACTTATCAACTAGTGAATCTCTGCGCTGGTGTGAGTGCGTGGAGGTGGGGCTAATTTGCATATTCATAGAACCACGTATACTAAATGAGGCAAGGATGTAGAGTTTACATTCAAGCTATTTTAAGGCATGAAGAATTTTTATTTTTTTAAATATCTCATTTTGTTGATCAAAAATTTTTTTAAGGGATATAATTATTGACAGGGGGACTTTAAATGTATATACAGTTTAATGATATGCTATTCTCAGAGGTGGACAGTAACAAAGTACATTTACTTGAGTACTGTACTTAGGTACACTTTTTGAGTATCTGTACTTTACTCGAGTAAATTTAGTTAAGTACTAGTTTTTAAAAGTACTTAAGTAAAAGTCCGACTTTACAACTTACGGCCATGGCGGAGACGACCCTTCAGGCGGCCAGGACAAAGGGTACATTAAGGGTATTTGCCCCCCTCCCCCCCCCCCTCCCCTCCCCTCCCTCCCCTTTCGTGGGGAGCTCACTGGACTCTGGAGGAAGACGAAGACTGGAATCCCTTCTGGGCTCTGGAAGAGGGCGGTGACTGGAGATTCGGACGCGACAACGGCCATCTTGGACGAGGGCTCAGGCGCGGTGGCTGCCATCTTGGACGAGGGCTCTAGCGTGGCGGCAGCCCTCTTGGAACGAGGCTCTGGAATGGCGGCGGGCATCTTGAGACGAGGACGGGTGAGACGATCATCTTGAGACGATCACACTGGAAGGGTGGTCTCGGCGGGACGAGACTCTGGAAGGGTGGTCTCGGCGGGACGAGACACTGGAAGGATGGTCTTGGCGGGACGAGACTCTGGAAGGGTGGTCTCGTGGGACGAGACTCTGGAAGGGTGGGGGCCATGACAAGGTTCTGGAAGGGCAGCGGGAACGAAAAGAGAAACCAAAACTGCTTTGATTGTGTAGGATGATCCACTCACCCACAGGATGTTGTCAATGTATTCCCTCAAGGAACACGTGGTGGCAGTAGCTGGGAATCGCCTAAAGAGTGGATCGTCCAGACCCATCGAATATATGGACTTGAGGGCTGGTTCTTTCCAGGACACCTGGTGGACGAGGTGGAGGAACTCCTCTATGCAGGTCTCAATGGGGCGGTGGTCCTGTAAGATGGCCAGAAGCAGATCGACAGGGTCTAGGGGACTGAGCAGGATGCCCATATTGTTGCCTTTCTGTATGGGTCCGGTCTTCTGTTACGGAAGCAGACTCAAGAGATGATTAGTGAAGATATAACAGGAGTTTATTTGACAACACAGAGTGGAGACAGGATGCAGGCAAGTGATATGAACAATAATACTTTGGAGAGCGGTGTGCCGGTGATGATTGGAATAGTTCTTCTTACAAGAATGGAGACACACAGGAGAGATGAGAAGATGGAGACAATGGAGACAATGGAGGTTTGCGATATCAAGACAAGTAGTCCTTTACGAATAGGAATGATTAGGAATGATGTGCAGATGGGGATCAGGAGGGATGCTGGGATGTGTAGTGCAGAGGATGGTGGCTAGGGTGATCGGTTGACAATAATACAATGTGGGAATAATGATCAAGGAAGAAAATATTTGTTTACATTTCTTTAAGGGGGGCTGGACTGGAAATAAAAAGAAACAAAAAATTAAGGAGGACTGGGACGAATCTAATTACCAAGTGCTAAGTTAACCTTCATCCTCTCTCCAGGTCATTTTGAATTTTTTTTAATTCATTTTCTTTTCATTTTTAAAAATTGAGTGTTCATCATTGTTGTCCAAGACCTTAGGAGTTTTGTTGCACTTCAGTTGCACTTCAATTTGGAATACACTCACACACACACACACACACACACACAAAAAACTGACCAGATTCAAGGAGTTTTTGTGGTTGTATCTTCCCTTACGGGTCCATAGGAATGAATGGGAAATGGGCACATTCACATGCATACAAAGACGTACAAACACACACACACACACACACACACACATACACACACAAACATACACACACAAACACACATACACACACCTAGTAATTCCCATTAAAATTACAGTATACAGTATAACGGGGGCAATGTTTGTTTTTTAAATCTGTCACAAAGCAGACTGCACACAGATATGAAGTGGTTAGATTTGAACACATTTGCAATGCAGAACAATAACAAATATACTTGATATCGCCCGGATCCAGCTGACTACAGTAAAGTCAAGTCAAGTCACCTTCATTTATAAAGCGCTTTTAACAGTATGGATTGTTTCAAAGCAGCTTTACAGTGATAATAGAAATTACCGTAACAGATTGTTTAGGCTTTACTACAGCTCTAGGATAAAGTTATTGTCCAGCTAAAGATAGTCTTGATTGATTCATTAGTTATTAAATTAGGGCCCGCTAACACAACACCGTTCTAACAGAAAAACCCTTAATGCGCTCCTGCCGCCCATCCGCACAAAACAGTGCCTGGTGTCTCGAGAATGCCGGCCCTGAAATAGGTTCGAAGGGGCAACCAATTATCCGTTTTCTCTGCGCAAACCCGCGAAGACGCAGACTGCGTACACATGCGCATCACGTGTTCAGTCGATATAACTGCCATACATATTATTTCTGTTATTGAACATGTTTTTGTTATATTTGTTTAATCTATTCATGAATGTTGAGTGTTGATGTTAACTAGGAACTAAAGTACATTTTGCGTTGCACACGGACACTTTTTAAGGTGCAACAGGAAAAACAGACTTTTTGTGAGAAGTTATTCTCTGTGTGTGGAGTAGAAGAGTCACTCGTGTTTTGAGCCAAGAAGTAAAGATGTTTTTCATTTTTGTTTTTTGAACCGGGTATTTCAAGTGAACTCATTCCCTCTTGGTTATATGCAGCCAGCGAGGTATGTGTATTTCGTTTCGTATTCCCGAAGTGTGTTTGTATTTACTTCTTTATAGTGTTTGTGAACGTGTTTGTCTTTTACATTGTCATACTGTAGTTTGACGGTGGATTTCATTGATGGTGAATGTGACGAAGGAGAGAAGGATGACAAGTGCAATAAATCCATCAGTAACCAGAACCATGGTGTCGTTTATTTCCTGGAGGGAGTGATAGTCAAACTCGGACCTGCGTCAACGTTCCCGAACCTGCTCGTGCTCGGCCCGGACCTGATGTGTCACAACTCGGCAAGACGGGATGTAGCGTTACACAGATAAGCCCACGTTTACCGTTAAGGACCTGCATTTCTCAGTGTTTCATTAAGACGTCCATAAGTCAGACACGTAAGCTTGTGTTCTGAAAGGTGACAATAAGTTTTGAACACTACAAGAGACTGTGTAACCTTAATAATAATAACTGTGGTTTAAATTGTATGAGGGGAATTTATTGATTTTGTCTACTGAAGAAAGTAAGTGATAACTTGGAAAAGGGAGAATTATTTGTGCACATTTAAGCAAGCCAATATTATTTGTATTTTTTTTGTGTGAAGTTTTTATTATTTTCTAAGCACGTTCACTTAAATGTGGCCATAAGCATCTTGTCAAGTGTAATTGACCATGCAATATTACCACGGCTTTACAATGTTTGCTTTAATTGAAGGATTGATCTACATTGACCTAATTTAATTTGATTATTCAAAGAAAAAAAAAAAAAGGGAAATTCTGCTGTTAAATTCGCAGCTAATGTTAAGTGTGTACAGGCAATTACCAGATAATGTAAGATGTCACAAACAAGTGAAAAAGAACAAGTGACAGAGAAGTCTATCATTGTACAACAAGCAGTACAGCCTGCAGAGCCTCGTAGAAGTGAAAGAGATAGAAAATTAACAGAAAAGGGAAAGGAATTTCAGAATGAAAAGATGAAAGGATTATCACTTCGCTTTGAAAGTATTTATGAACGCTGGAAGGTTTTGACTAAGGTGGCTAAGAAATCTGTAATCAAACAAGATCCCAGTGATATCCTCCAAGAACACATTAAAGGCATTCAAAGAGAAGAATCTGAGCTGAACAGTGTTTATGATGAATATCGAAAGATTGACAGCCCTGCTCATGATATGAGACGCAAGTTGGACAGATGTGCATCCGTAACCAGAATTGTAATACAGAATGCACAGTCTCAAATTCAAGGAAATGAGGAGGTAATTATTTGGCCTGATGCTTCATCTGTATTCGCGTCTTCAACCTCCAGTGTTTCATTTCAGGGCAATAATTCTAAGCCTAATTCCATCCACTCTGCTGTATCCTCATCCAAAAGACAAGAAGCTGCTGCTGAGTATGCACATACACAGGCTGTATTGAAGATTATGGGTGAGCAAGAAAGCCACCAAGCAGAATTGCAGAGACTTGAAGCTGAGGATAAGTCGATAGTTGCAGACCAAGAAGCAGCTGCATCTACTCGCCGTCTTCAAAGAGAAAAGGAAGAAATCGAACGCAAGATAGAAAGAGAGAGACAAGAGGCTGCTCTGTTAAAGAGACAGCATGAAGAGAATATTGCAAGAAGAAGGTCAGTTGAAAATTTGAAAAGAGAGCTTGAGCGTTTGGAAGAGCTGAAGAGGCTTAATGCAGCCAAAGCAAAGCTTTGAGTGTACAATGCAAATGAGTTCTATCCAACCCAAGACTTTGTACCACAAAACTTTGAGGCTGAGTTGCCTACAGATATGCAGATAATCAATCAAGCGACTATTGCTGATCAGCATCCACCACCACTCAGAGATGTGACTCCAAGAAGTGAACTCCAAGATGACATGCGAGAGCTGGTGAAGGTCTTAGCTGAAGCTATGACAGCAAACAGGTTACCCATTCCAGAGCCTTCGATCTTTAGTGGAGATCCACTTAAGTTTAATCATTGGAAATCATCCTTTCAGACACTTATAGAGAAAAAGAATATTCCAACCGCAGAGAAGGTCTTCTTCCTTCAAAAATATGTCGGAGGAGCTGCTAGAGAAGCCTTAGAAGGTCATTTTCTGGCTGGTTCAGAAGATTCATACAATGCAGCATGGGACCTGCTCAATGAAAGATATGGCCAACCCTTTGTAATTGCCAAGGCTTTCAGAGACAAATTACATACATGGCCAAAAATAGCTTCAAGAGAGAGTGCTGAGTTGAGAAAATTTGTGGACCTTTTACGCAGTTGTGAAAGTGCTATGGCTAAAAATGACAGTCTCCACATTCTTAATGATGGAATTGAGAATCAAAAACTTACTGCCAAGTTACCCGACTGGTTAAGCTCCGGATGGAACCGAAAGGCCACACAATATCAACTTGAACACGGAAGGTTCCCAAACTTCAGTTATTTTGTGACGTTCCTTTCAATGGAGGCTAGCATCGCTTGCAACCCCATTACATCCTTCCATGCATTATGGCAAAGTGAGTCAGATAAAGCAAAGAGCAGGAGCCAGAACATTATGACCTCCAAGAACCAAACCGTAGGTGCCAAGATCTTCACAACAAACACCAGTGAAAGGAAAATAGTCACATGTGTGTTTTGTAAAAAACCAGGACACAGCTTACACAAGTGCTACAAATTAAGAGAGAAGCCAGTTGCTGACCGCATGAAATTTATGCAAAGTGAAAAACTGTGCTTCGGCTGTTTGAGCCCTGGCCACCAGTCTAAGAGCTGCAGTAACCGGATGGTCTGCGATTCTTGCTCAAAGAGGCACCCCACATGTCTGCACGAAGAACGTTCAAAAAGGGTCCAAGAACTAAAGAAAGAACAATCTAAGGAAAGAATTCAACCACAAGACGTCACAAAGGAAACAACCTCTAACAGAGTTGTTCAAGATACTAATAGTACACAGACGTCGGCAATAGTACCTGTCTATGTATCAACGCCAAGTGATCCAGACAAGGAAGTTCTCGTCTATGCTCTGTTAGATTCACAGAGTGACTCTTCATTCATTCTTGATGAAGTGGCAGGTGTTCTTGATACAAACACTGAACAAGTGAAGTTAAAACTATCTACGATGTCGTCAAAGGGGACAATCATTCACTGTAAAAGACTTAATAGCCTACAAGTAAGGGGCCTATTTTCCTCCAAGAAGTTAACAGTGCCGACAGTTTACACTCGTGACTTCATACCTGCTAATCGCACACACATCCCAGTGCCTGAGACAGCAAAGGCATGGCCTCATTTGGAGCATCTTGCTGACCACATTGCGCCTCAAAAGGATTGCGAAATTGGTCTGTTGATAGGGTACAATTGCCCACAAGCTCTAATGCCACGAGAAGTCGTTTGTGGAGTGGAAAACCAGCCATTTGCTCAGAAGACTGACTTAGGTTGGAGCATAGTGAGTTATGGTGACCCAGGTGAACACTACGGTGATGCAATTGGAGTAAGTCACCGCATCATCGTAAAACAAATCAAGCCTGAAGTGAATGCAATGGTCCAGCTTAAAGGAGAAGTACACTATGTTTGCCATACCCAGGTCAGTGAAATGGTCACTCCAGATGACATAATTAAGATGTTGGAATCTGATTTCAGTGAGAGAGGTGGAGAAGAGGCAACCTTCTCTCAAGAAGATCTTCACTTCTTGGCTAAACTGAAAGACGGAATCAGACAGAAGCAAGATGGTCATTTTGAAATGCCCTTACCTTTCAAACAAGACAGACCAAATCTACCAAATAATAAATCATGTGCTGTTCAACGCCTAATGTCCTTGGAACGAAAGCTCAGGAGAGACCAGCAATACCGCACTGACTACTTGGGGTTTATGAAAGACATCATTGCTCGTGGCGACGCAGAAAGGGTCCCTGAAGAAGAGATTGACAATCAACCGGTCTGGTATATTCCCCACCATGGCGTATACCACCCCCAAAAGCCTGGGAAGATACGAGTGGTCTTTGATTGCTCAGCAAGGTTCCAAGAAACGTCACTGAATGATCAACTTCTTACTGGTCCAGAGCTTACAAACACCTTGGTGGGAGTCCTTTGTAGGTTTCGCAAAGGCCCGATTGCCATCATGTGTGACGTGGAAAAAATGTTTCACCAGTTCCATGTAAGGCCTGAGCACCAAGACTACCTCAGGTTCTTATGGTGGGAGAACGGTGACCTAGAGTCTCCACCCTCAATTTTTCGGATAAAGGTCCACCTATTTGGGGCAGCCTCCTCACCTGGATGTGCCAATTTTGGACTTAAGCATCTAGCCGCTCAAGGTCAGGATAAATTTAACCCAAGCACTGTTAAGTTCATCCAAAGGAATTTTTATGTTGATGACGGACTGGTGTGCGGAACATCTGACGCTGAAGCAATCCAACTGATTAAGGAAGCGAGAGACCTTTGCAGCACAGGCAAACTTAGACTACACAAATTTATCTCCAACAGTACGGAGGTAATGAAATCCATACCGAAGGAAGAGTGTGCTGAAAGTGTCAAAGATATGGATATGGGTTTGGGAGAGCCGCTCATGGAAAGAGCTCTTGGCGTTCAATGGTGTGTATCCTCTGATGACTTCCAGTTCAGAGTGACTGTCAAGGAACACCCATATACCAGAAGAGGAGTACTTTCTACAGTAGCTTCCATCTACGATCCATTGGAGTTTGTAGCGCCTTTTATTCTCCGTGGAAAGCAGATCCTACAACAACTGTGTCGAGACAAAGTAACTTGGGATGAGCCACTCCCACAAGAGCTAAGATCACAGTGGGAAATCTGGCTACAAGATCTTCGAAACTTATCTAATGTAAGGATTAGAAGGTGCTATATCCCAGATAACTTCAAGGATGTCAAGCAGTACGAACTTCACCACTTCTCAGATGCAAGTGTCATCGGTTATGGTGAATGTACTTACCTCAGAGCAGTCGACGTCAAGGGAGATGTTCACTGCACGCTTGTCATGGGAAAAGCACGGGTTGCTCCTACCAAGGTAACCACAGTGCCACGGCTTGAGTTGTCGGCTGCAGTTGTGGCAGCAAGAATAAGTGTTATGCTTAGAAATGAGCTTGAAATAGAGGGTCTTCAAGAACATTTTTGGACTGACTCGAAGGTCGTCCTAGGCTATATAAACAATGATGCCAGACGGTTTCATGTGTTCGTAGCGAACAGAGTCCAACGAATCAAGTCCACTACAGATCCTAAACAATGGCACTT